TTCAGAAACACCTCTGATATTGTCAGGGCTGGTGTCATGGCTGCTGTTTAGAGAATCAGAGAAGCTAACTGACTCCATCAGGTCCCATGTGCAGAGCCTGTGCAGATATCCGAAAGTAATTTTCAGAAGCACAAGAGGCAAGAGGTCTGGCAGTGTGCTACCGTGCAATTCTCGAAAGAAATCTGACCCGGTGATGAGATCACGTCGACAAGCCGCACACGCAATCAATTCCAGTGCTCAGAGACAGGCAATGAACAGTGATCTTTCCATTTCAGCGCAAGAAGCAAACTACGATTTCATGGGTGTCACCAAGACATGATGGGACGGGTCTCAGTGGTGCAGCCCAGGCATGAGAACAGAGTTGTCCAAACGAAACAGATTTTAACAGGAAAAATGAGAGGCTGGAGTCCATCTTGGATGCAACCCAACTGCAGCTAAAATGTGCCCAAATGTGAGCCCAAATGTGAAACAGCGTCCCTCTGATTTTCCATTTACCACGTAAGCCATGTAAGGCAACGGAATCAGGTTGCCAACATCGCATTCTTTTGAATGAGAATGTTAAAAGATAATTTTTTTTCCACTGGCAGTTAACTTATATCGACTACTTGCTATTAAGTCTCTGCTCTAGGCACTTTACAGTGCCTAGCATCTTAAGGCTTCATGGCCACACTAGGAGATACAGGATACACACTGTTATCACCACCCCTGGTCTACAGATAACGCAATGGCGATGCAGAGAAGTGTACAGTCTTCCCATGGTCACTTGTCTAGAAATAGACAGAGCCCAAAATCAAACCCCGGCAGCCCGGTCCCAGAGCCTGATCTCTCACTGCCGACTCTGGCTCTAGTCCAAAGGCGCTGCCATTTAAGGACAGTGGCATTTTAGCATAAAAATCAGGCAGGAAGCTCAGCATAAGGGTCAGTCCTTCAAATTTAAATCTATTTAGTCATATGAAAAACTAACTGTTTCCTCTGGTTTTGCTCAGATTTTTGCAAACATCATCACAGACCTCCACTGGCTTGCAGAGCAAGACTCGACGAGCATCGTTGTGGAGTATGTGGGCAAGGATAAAACAGAAGTAAATGCAGACACTTCCAGGGTGGAACCACACAACAGACCATTTCATTAGAGACAGAACACAGAATTTTCATGGTGAAGAGACATTCAGGGTTGGCCAGCTTAATCCTCTTATGAATGTGGAAATTTTCTTCCACTACATCAGGCTGTGCTTGAACGGATCAGCCACTGGAAACTCACTACACATGACTCAGCACTCGTGAAATCTGTAGGACACCCTGCTCTTCTTTGTCAGCTTTCTCAGTTTTTCCCACCGCCCCTAGTTGGTCCATTTTGTGCTCTCTCTGAAAATGCAGGGACTACAACTAAGTGCCATAATAGGGAGGCTACCGGGCATTTGTAGAAAAAAAGTCTATCACTTCCTTCAGTATGGGAATTTGCTTTCTTAATGTAACCTAAGATTAAATAAGGTTTTTTTTGGGGGGGGGTGAGGTAACAGCATTACAGAGTGATTAATAGAATAGGGACCATATTACAGATTCATAAGCATTTGAACCAAATCCTCAATCTCCTTTTTCAAATGTGCTGCAGCTAAATTTTATGATTCTGACTCCACACCAGCAGGGAACTGACCTTTCAAATCCCATGGGATGGACGCACAATTACTGCTGCTACGTGTCACCCTTATTCGATTCATCCACTGTTCCTGTCTGGCTGAGGCCGTTTTCCACTTTCCATCTGCTTTGCAGAAAGCCCAGCATCCCTCTCAGGTTATGAGATCCCTGGCTGGCTCTCTCTGAACCTTAACTGCCCGCGAACCACCTGAGTATCAGGCTGGAACCGCATCCCACTTCTCAGTCTTTAGCCTGCGGTACCTGCCTTCTTCCTCTCAAATCCGTCCTGCTCTCCTGCTCGTCACAACTTCACACGGCTCACCAGAGCAGTCACCAAGCTTCCCTGCAGGTTTGCTCAAAGTCTCGGGCCAAGGAAGGGTGAAACTGCCTTTCTTCCTACAGTAAAAGGCCCACTGGACACTACCTCCCTCACCTACCCTGCGTCTCCCCCTCTTACTTCTCGCTTTGACCCTCTCAACTAACATACTTCTATTTCCGAAGACTGCGTTGTTCAGCCACCGCTTTTTCAAAAACGTTCAGGGCCCATGCAGGACACACCTGCTACAGCAACCACCGCATGTTTTAGGAGAAAGCATGCTTTGGCAGCGCGCCTCCTTGCTTAAGTCAGGTCAATGCTTTTGAGACAGGAGGGAAGGGGGCAGGGCATAGCCATCCAAGGAATGACACACCAATTAACGCCAAGGTGGAGGAAAATTCAACTCCCAGCAGGCCTTGAGGCTCAGGATGGTGAGAGACTTGACTTCCAGCAGACTTTAAGCTTCATTAGACGCTCACCGTAATACGTTAACATGGTAAACGGAAGTCCCGCAGGCACCAGGACAGCTCAGGCTGCCCATAAAAGGCCAAAAAGTGGGCGGTGGCCCAACTCCTGAGAATCCCAGTCCCTTCCCCAAAGTAGCAGGAATAATCCCCCCACTTGTTAGCATGCGAAGTTACTGAGCCCATAAAAACTAACAGCCCCACACCTCGTGGCCTTTGTCTTGCCTTCTGAAGCCTGCACCGTCTATGGAGTGTGTGTCTCTCTGAATAAATCCGCCTTTACTCAACTGTGGCTCGCTCTTGAATTCTTTCCTGCCCAAAGCCAAGGACCCACACTTGGTGGGGCACATCCCAGGGACTCAACCGAGACCTGGGACACGGCCCTCCTCTCCCCCGACATGTTGTCCTGTATCATCTCAAGACACAGGGGTGGCATGCAAACATCCACTCTAAATTGGGTCTAATGTCTTAAACAGGACTGCTGGTCTATTGCGAAAGGGTCTACATTTACACATCATGCAGCTGTCCCAAAAAGGCTTCTTGAAGACAAAGACACATGCATTATATTTAGGGGAAATGTATACAATAATTGTGTCAATACCTGAAATGTACAGGCACAAAACCAAGAGAAAATGTGTAAAAATACGTAAAAATGACCAGAACTGAAAACATTAGGTTGGTGGGGGGGTGTTAGTGATGAATGAGACACACAGTACCCTCTCTCCAGCCCAGGCAGGGAGATTCTAACCCTCTTTTGGAGAGAAAGGAAGACCATATATCACCGTGCCCCAAACAGGATTCCTCAAAATAACACTGCAGTGAAATAAAGCAAACTGACTGCCCGCAGATCATGCTCGGAGGAGAGCAGGCCACCAGGGCTTCCGTTTCCCCGCCCCTAGTAATGGGGGTCATGGTATCAGCCCCAGAGACGTCACAAGGCAGCTGCAACGTAATAACAGATCTGAAAGCAACTCCTCTAAACGATATCTATGGTGTTATAAACAGCTGCTATTTGCATTACAACAGGTGATAAGTTACATCAAAAAAGGAAGGGTCATTTTATTCATCTAAACAGAGAGGAGAGATGACATAGTTTTGGCAAGTGAGGAAGAGAAAGTGTTATCAAATTCATTTTCCTGGGAACCACCCAGTGCGGCTGCAGGAATCACCACGGTTCTTGTCCCAGAGACCCTGCACTGAGGGCGATGGGAGCTTCTGGGCATGGGACCCCAGTTTCCTGGGAAACAGACCTGGGTAGACAAGGCAGGACCGTCACTGCCCCCAAACAGCATGTATCCTCCAGAAGAAAAAGGGTCCTGTTCTATTCTAACCAATATATTTTTACAGAGCCAGAATTTTGGAAGGGAGGGTATAGCTTGATGGTAGAGTGCCTGTTTAGCATGCACGGGGTCCTGGGTTCAATTCCCAGTACTTCCATTAAAAACAATAAATAAGTAAATAAATAAACCTAATTGCCTCCCCGTCAACAAAATTAATTAATTAAAATAAAAATAAATACAATTAAAAAACCAGAACTTTTTCAAATCAATTCTACTTCAATTAAAAAAAAAAAGGGTACAGCACTAAAAACAAAACAAAACAAAACAGAACTCTTCCCATGAGTTTTGGGCTTTTGGAAACTCAATACTCCAAATTATGAAGAAAGAATGAAGCGGATAGAATTGTTAAGACTTAATCATTTCTCCTACCAGGCAGGGCCAGATTGTGCGTGCTCAAGTACTTATAAAACTCAAAAGGAAATGCAACCTATTGATTAGTGTCCTCCTAAATAATGGTACCCAGAGAATCAATTAACCCTATAAAAATTTATGGGGCTCCTCACCTCGGCTCACAATTCAAGGCAAGAGTTGTTTCATCTAAACGAAGAGCCCGTCAGCATCCCAAGCTGCTCTCTCTCACTTCCGGCCGAGGGTCGCCAGACAGCGAAGGCACTGCAACCTCTAACGGGTGCTTTCCGCAGGGTTTGGGGCTCTAGAAGACTCTGCATTTCTCTCTCTATCAACCCCGCCTCTGTGTAAGCCGCAGAGCGGGGTCAGCACAATCAATTAGACTTCACAATCTGGGAGCTTAAACACTGCACGTGGCCCACAAATCACCATTGCTTATTTTACAAATGGGCCCTGTGCCATTGGCAAGCAGCCCCTCCATTAAACACCCATCAATAAAAAGGCAGCGCTGAAACCTGGAAGACGGACTCTATTCGCCCAGAGCTCCCCCAGGCCGCGAGCACATTAGCAGCGAGCGCACAGCAGAGGGGCCGGGCCAGAGGCTCCGACCCCTGAGCAGACGCCGTTAAAAAAGACAGTTCCTGTCAACTTGAGGGTAAGTCCTGTACGTACTACGGGCTGCTCGTAGGAAGGAGTGAATGAAGGACAGGGAAAGCGGGTGGAGACCTCCTGAGAGATAGCAAGCCTCCAGGTCCGGAAGTCCACAGGCGAAGGGACTTGTGCGGCCATCCTGGATCCCGGCAGAGCCGAGGAGCAGGTGTGGGCCACCTGACAAACCCCGAGCCCGCAGGTCAGACTGCAGCGGACAACGACAGCCCACCCCAGGAGCCCCAGACTCACCGGCACACTTGGTTCTGGTTCTGAGCGCGGGCCCGGGGGACCCGGTGCCGCCCTCCCCGGGCCGGGTGAGGAGCACGCTGATCTCATACTCCGTGTCCGGGTCCAGATGCCCGATTTTGTAACTGGTGGAGTCCACCGGCTGCCGGTCATTCCAGCTCCCGCTGGCGGTGCAGTACTCCACCTCGCGGGCGACGATGGGCCCGTCCCCATTGATGGAGTTGGCGTTGAGCTGGATCCACAGGTAGGTGGCGCCCACGGAGGCAAGCTGCGGGGGCGCGATGGGAACAGGGGGTTCTGAAAGGCAAAGCAGAGGGCCATCCTTCAGACACTCCGGCCTTTCGCCCGAGAAGAGCTACAAGAACATCAGGTACCCAGAGAAGACCAACGTTTCAGGAATGAGCTGGTGGGACCGGTTTCACTCGGTTCCGGCGACAAAGCGTCCCGACAGGAGTCTGCAGTGCTCAAATCTGTGAAACAAGCCATCTTTCAAACCTAGGCTTCCTCCGGGAGGGAGACCCACAGTTACTCGTTTTCTCAAACAGATCCACAGACACCAAAGGATTTTTTTCTTCCACTAAAAGCAACTTGCTAAAACTCTCTCCAGGGGCAGTAACTAAGCCCCAGAAGGCACTCCACTGTCAAGAATGTCTTTCAAGGCACCAGAGTTACTGGTTAGGTCATTGAACTCTGTTTCCAAAGAGATCATCATGTTAAACATATGGATAAGATGACAGTTTCTCCCATCATAAATGCATTTCCAGGATGACTCGTTTCCCCCCAAAAGCTAACACCATGGCCTCGTCCAACTACAGAAGTGAGCATAAAGTCCAGCACGGCCACTGTTCAGGGAACTTCCAGTAATGAGTCTTATTAACGCAGTGAATAGAAAGAAAAGTTCTAAAGCAAAGCACAGCCTCAGCCCAGCTTGATAAAACTCAAAGCGATCAGTAGCAAACACTCCTTACAACCCAAGAAAGTCTCTATTCCAATTTCTATATGCAACAAATTTCTTTCATGAATCTCCATCTGAGGAAAAAAACCTAGGTCCCAGTGATGTATTTTTTCAGGAATGTTTCTCTGCAGGTGGGTTTGTGCGTTTTGTGTGTTTCTGTTTCTCCCTCCGTTTCGTTCATACAAGCGCGTGGAGAAGAAAGTCTGCTCAGTTCTCTTTCTGGCATGCGCTGGCTTGCAGGCTGCAAACCCGTCCGCTCCGTGGCAAAGATAACCCCGTTATGGTTCCCGCTGATGGGGACCTGGGGGTGGCTGGTCCCATCTGAGGCTGGCCTCTAAGATGATACCAGCTGGACCCCAAGACCACTGAGGAGTCAGTACCATGAGCTCCTTTGGTAGGGTTGCGGCATCTTTGTTCTTTCTGTATTCAAGGTGTGGTAAGTCACACTGACTTCTCAGAGTTCGGGAAATTCATAAGATGAGTCAAGATGAGAAGCTACAAGATGAATTTTATGTGGGGGACTACAGATTTAGTGTAAATTTAGTAAAGTCCTGTTCCTGTTGTTTATCAATTCCAACTCTGGGCTAGCTCTTCATTTCTTTCAATAGTTTTGACTCAACTCATAATGATTTAACGTCAACTTATATCATTAGGCGATTCCTTGAACCAAGATCTGAAATGGGTCTTTTACAGTATATCCTAAGGCATGTAGGTTGCCAGGCTGAAAGAGTAGCTAATGACTTTGAAGCTGCAAATGCTAGCAAGGGTTTCTGAACTGCCATTCCAAATACAACTCAGGGGCAAAGCCACAAAGGTTACTGAGCACACAGCTCAGTGAGGACCTTGTTACTAGTATCCTAAAATGACAGGACTTCAAAGCTTGTCTGTCCTGAGACTAGTCTCGCCATTAGCTTCCCATTTAGAAGAACCAAATACGTTAAATCAAATGCAAGATTCCACTAGAACCTGAAAATGATTCAGAGAGCCATCAAAAGGACCTTTAGGTTGCTGGAAGAATCAGTACAAGAAGAAGTCCGTAGTTAAATTTGGAAAAATTTCCCCAAAGTGAAGGGAGGAAGGAACTCAATCTATACTCGGTGATAAAAAGTAATTTCAAATATTTAATCCAAGTGAAAGTTGGATTTAATCTACGTGAAAGCACATGACAAAAGTAATTTTAAATCAAGCCAGAATGAAAGAACTTATATACGTATAGATACATAATCGTACACATATATCTTATTGACATACATGTGTGAATTCCTAATATGTATCTCCAACAGTGAAAGACGATACTGGAACATATGTATATATCCATCATACAAGGATTGTGGAGATTACATGAAACAGTTTTATGTTCGTTATTAAAAGCAGTGGTAGACATGAAGACAAGAGTGATAGTTTAAAATGACTTGGGCTTCATTTGGGGGCCAGCACCAAATCAATGCATGACCTTAGGAAAGTTTTAAACTCTTCTGACTTTAGTTTTTCCCGTTTAAAAAAAATTAGCCCTCTGGGGGTAGGGAAGAGTCAGTGGTAGAGTGTGTGCTTAGCAGGCACGAGGTCCTGGGTTCACTCAATCCCCAGTACCTCGGTTAAAACAAATAAATGAATAAACAAACCTAATTACCCTCCTCCCAAAAAATAAAATTAAAAAAGAAAAAAGCCAAGAAAAAAATTAGTCTTCTAAATATCTGCATATAAAAAGTGTTCAAATATCTATACATAGCCTAAAAATGTCGTAACTTTTTTAAAACAAAAAAAATTATTTCTTTTATTTTACTTATCTATTTTTGGGGGGGTAATTAGATTTATTTATTTATTTATTTTTAACGGAGATACTGGGGACTGAACCCAGGACTTAGTGCACGCTGAGCGTGCGCTCTACCACTGTGCTATACCTTCCCCCATCATTAAATATTTTAAAGTAATTGTCTCAAGGTAATGCTTTCTAAACTAGTAGAATCCAGCATGCTATCTCATTTTACAAAATAAAATATATGCAAAATATGGCAATAAAAATATCAATGGAGGAAAAGTTAAATTCCAGATTTGAGCTGTTAACTGCAAGTCTACTGTCACCAGTGCTGGCAGGGGGCAGAGATGGAGGAAGGTCCCTTGACATTTTTGACAATGAGCCAAGACCCCTCTAGGCTGTGATGAGGCAGGAAAACGTGAGGCAGGAATGTAAGAACCCACCCATCCTCTGTGTTCCGTTGTTCTGGCAGACTAGAAACCTCTGCCTTCCTTGTGATCCCCAATAAATTAACTTTCCCACTGAGGCAGCGTTTAAAGACATCACAAGATTGGCAGCACACTGATCACGAAGCACCCCGCCTCCCCTGGTTCCGGCTGGTCACAGTGCAGCATTGTCACAGCCAGAACTCAGAAGATGGACACAGAGATCCAAACCAAGATGAAAATCAAGTGACGATGCTGACAGTGGAGAGCTCGGCCATGGGGGCAGTGAGGAGGATCCTCTCCTGGATTTGCTGCCCAGGTTCAGGCCACGCAGAGACCCCCCACTTTCCAGAGAGCCTTCTGCAGGGCAGGGTGTGCATACCTCGGCAGAGGTTTAAGTTTTCCTACAGATGTTAAACCCAAACTCAGATACTAGCCAGATGGGCTGGTTAGTACAAGGGATCTGATGTGGCAAAAGAGATCATTCCAGTAGAGATGCCAGTGCCTGCTTCCTCCCAGGGACCCTCAGTCATGGCTGCAGATAAACACTGCTAGGGGCCAGGCTCCCCAAAAGCCAGGCATGACTAGCCCTGACAGCAGTGATCTCATGACAGGAGTATATGCCCAAATCACCTATAGATTTTTATCGCAGAGTCTGTGTCCCTGAGATTTCAATTCAGCGTGGGTAAGCTGGTGTGAATGGAGAAAAGGTGGGCAGGTACTTATGTTTTTTTAAATTGGGCAAGGTGGCTCTGCCATGCATTCTCAGACAAGGACCACTAACGGACTGGAGGGGAGAGTAAGAACCACCCCATCCCATTGCAACAGGTGCTGGCTGTCTACCAGGTACCTGGTTCTAAGTGCTGCTCACATGCATTTTGCATCTGGGCCTCCTGATAGCCCTTTAGGGTAGGTCACATTATTAACTCAATTTTAAACAGGAGGAAACAGAAGCACTGAGAAGATAAGCCATACACCCTCAGCCACATGGCTAGCTCTGGGGTTTGAACCCTGCAGTCTGTAAGACTGCCTGTGTAGAGAAATTTGCTGACAAAAGGAACAGACCATCCAAAAGAGATCAATTTCATTCCCTATTTAACAGATGCAGGGAAAAAATTTAAAAGCAGGCATCATTCTGTTCCCCTAGGATGAAACAGCAATGACTTCCTACACGTTGTCTAAAAATGTCTCAGGGTACATCTCAAAGTCCAAATTATTCTGTCTGGGACCAAAAAGTGCCTTAGCAGTTTAATCCTATGAACTCCTAAGTCCACATACACACACACAAACATCAAACCAGCTAAAGGAAAACTTATTTCCCCTCTCTTTTTTTGCCCTCATCCCCCACCTTCCTGAATATAATGACTCAATTTTTCAGTCATGCAAAATATAGTAATAGACCCTAACGGCAACATTATGAATGGTAACTCAGTATTATCAATATGGCTTGTGTGATATGCTGGAACATTTTTATCCTGACACTGCTTCATTTTATTAACCACCCTGCTATCATAAACACCCTGGCTGGTACACATTTGCATTTTAAGTGATTTTCTACCAGTAAAAAAATTTCATTCCTTAAAAAAAAATTTATAGGTTGTAATCTCTGTATACAGACCTGGCAGAAGAACTTGCCAATAGCACGTTCATTGCTTTGTAGGCAACTGAACCAGTGTAAATAAAATACATTTTTCAAAAATATTGCTCACATGCAAAATTAGGACTTAAAATGCAATCCATCAATACAGCCTGTCACCAAATTACTGTTCAGAAACAGACAAGGATAAGTGTGAGCTTGAAACAAATCCTGAGTCCACAACCATCTCATGTGTCTCTTTTAACAGACTACGGGGAAGTATAAAAATACATTAAATACCTTTAACTACCAATTCTGCGTAGTTTGATACGCCAACACCTCCATCGGTGCGAATCATGCAGCGGTATTTTCCAGCGTCTCGTTTGGTTGTGTTCACGACGTTGAACGAAGCTATGAATCTCCGGGAACTGGTCACCCTTATCTCCTTCAGGGGAGCATCTCGTACATCGATGCCCTGTAAGAGTGGGTGTGGGAGGACAGAAAGACACAGTATCAACCGCCGTATTGAGCCAGTGAGACACCTAAGGGGCAGGAGGGATGTCACCCATGTTACTTCTGTGCAGATCTTGGTTCCCTTGTTTACCACTCATGGGTAATTGTTCCAGGAGAACAGCTGCCCAGGAAACTGAAATTCTGCCTCGATCAACACTTTCAGCATTGAGGGAGGCAAAATCAAGTGTGCAAGAATGTCTCGGTTTTGCCCCTTCAAGATGTTAACCATGTTATACTAGCTCAACAGACAGAGAGGGAAAAGCACACAGAAACATTCTTTATTTTGTTTCCAAACTATCAGCATTTTGTCTTTTCATGATACTTACTGTATTTTTCTTATATTTGGCTATGAAACAAAATTAATTCACACACTACCCTATTACTGACCTCATTTTATAAATGAACCAATAAACAGCTTATCAAGAGTTACATTAGAAATGTAAGCAGGTATTAGTATGAAATGGGTCTGAAGGACTAGCCTCAGTTTTATGACGCTCTTCCTGGATCTACAAACACCAAGCAGAAGCAGATGCTCACTGTCACCTGACACTGAAGCACTAGGAGAGACGTTTGTCCCCACGCCCCACAGAAGGACCACACAAAGCAGGTTCCATCACTGGGGCAGCATTGTCTGACGTTATCCCCGAGACTTCAGGAAGTCTTCAGTGCTGCACACTTGGAAATCCATTCTATGCTTCCCATAGTTTAAAGCCTCAAAAGAAGGCTACAGATTTCAGTTCTATGTATTTTTTTTCTATAATTATCAGGAAAGAGGCTATTTTTTAACATGTTATTTGCAAGTTTTAAGGAGAAAACAATGGGCAAAGACATTAAGGAAAATGCATGACACTCAAGCACTGTGCCCCTGTCATCACCTGGCCACTCACAGCGGTGGATGACAAAAAGTGGCCCCAAGGCTCCCAGTGCCTCAGTTTGAAACTGAAATGGACCCATGACCACCAGCGATAGCCAGTGCAGTGACAGGACCAATCAGCTGGTGGCAGAAATCACAATTGGGCCATCTTTAGATGTGGTGGCCGTAGGAGGCCATCTGAGGAAGTGACACTGGAGCTGAGATCTGAAGGGTAAGTGGGAGCCGCCAGGGCCAGGGAGGGGAGTGGCGGGGAGAAGGAGCACCCCAGGCAGAGGAGGCAGAACAGGAAGCCTGAGACGGTTAGACAGCTGAAGGCTTTGGATGAAATCAAGGCAGCGGGGGAACTGGGGAGGTGGAAGAGACCTGCGCATTCAGGGACTGGCAGGCTCTTTTAAAACGTCTGTGTTTATGGCGGGGGGAGGGTACAGCTCGGTCGTAGAGTGTATGCTCAGCATGCTCGAGGTCCTGGGTTCAGTCCTCAGGACCTCCACTAAATACATACGTACACCTAATTACTACCCCCCAAATAAAAACAAACAAACAAGTACATAAAAATAACAATAAAAATAAATGTGTTTCTAGGTCTGAAAACGCCAGGCTATGCATAACTCAGATCATCTGTGCGACTCCTTACATGAGGTAAAGCCTTTTGAAAGCTTTTTCTGTGACCTCTTCTTTGCCAGCAAGCCCTACCGGACACGAGTCTGGGAGCCAGACCGGCCACGTGCCGCACGCAGCCGCACCGGGGGTCCCTCCCTGGCGCCCGTGTGCTCAGCGGTGAGGAGGCGGCAGACGCCTCAGCGGCGGGCAGGGTGAGAATGTAAAGCCGCAGCAGGGATCCTGGCCCAGTGACGGCACCACACGTCCCCGCTCGGGTTCTGGAACAAGCGGGTGACGAGTCGAAGGAGACAGGCGGACAGGCTGCCCGAACGCCCCCTGGGTCCGGCGGCCCGGCGCCGCAGGCCAC